GTACTTCATCTTCAGTTTTAAGAGCAGTTTCTAATTCAGTCTGAGAGAATTTATGCAAGCATCAAAAGAAAAGTCCATTCTTCTAGAACAAAACACAGTATTTAAGGAGCCCTTACAACCTTTTGCAGGCATTTATATATACAGCCCATCATGTTTACAACAAGAAGAATCTTCATTTTTAATCTAGGGAAGTCGACATCTTTTGATAATTTTCCTTTCCCTCCTCTCCATGTCTTCTTCTCCTTGTCATTCCTCTTCTTCTACCTCTGAGGATCTGTACACACAAAATTACAAACCCCTTCATCCTGTACGTAGCAACTCATTTAAATGAACACTTGGAGGCAGGAAGACACTAATTCTTCAGATTTAACCAGATTTTGAACTTAAATTGATTCCCCTGGGGACTCCTACCACAATTATATATACCACCAAAAAGAGTGAATAGCATTATTAAGCTCCAATTTAATATTCTGATAGTATGTTTGAGCTTCAGAGAGAAAAATCCTATTCTATAATATACCTAATCGTTAAAAAAAAAAAAAAAAAAAAAAAAAAACGCTAATTGGTCCATATAGGAGGAATGCTGCAGGGAAATGTCATCCTGGTCCTAAACAAAGATCAACTTAATTACTGAAATATGAGGATTGCTAGCAATAATACAATATATAATACATAATCTTCAAAAAACAATGAATTTTCTATTAGTATCTATAAACTGCTACAAATATTCCAGTTCATGCTGAAGTATATCAATAGGAGGTGACTCACTGCATATATTTTTTTAAAATATATTTTATTGATTTTGTACAGAGAGGAAGGGAGAGAGATAGAGAGTTAGAAACATCGATGAGAGAGAGTCATCGATCAGCTGCCTCTTGCACACCCCGCACTGGGGATATGCCCGCAACCAAGGTACATGCCCTTGACCGGAATCGAACCCAGGACCTTTCAATCTCCAAGCTGACGCTCTATCCATTGAGCCAAACCGGTCTCAGCTGTATATATTTTTTGATGGAGCTGGGCTATGATATGAGATTGTAGTGAAAATAAAAATCAAATAAAATATTCTGACTTTCTACAAGAAAAGCCCAACTACCAATTTTATTCTCCTACTCTTAAAACATTCTAACTGGATTAGAGTTTCAACTATATTACTTGTTTTCAGACTCAATTAAATATTTAAACTTTTTTCCTCCTATTCAGCTAAAATGAACAAAATGTTTATGGTAATAGTTCTATAACAACAGAGCTAAAGCCCTAGAGAACTCACTGTAGTTCAATCTAGCAGGGCAAATTACTGGACTGCAGAGTAAATTGTCAATTCTTTTTTTTCAAATTTTTTTTATTAAATTATTATCTGTGTACACATACCATTGCCCACCCCACCCCACCCCATACATGCCTTCCATCCCCAGAGTTTTGTGTCCATTGGTTGTACTTACATGCTTTTTTTTTTTTTTTTTTTTTTTTTTTACTTATTTTAGAGAAAGGAATGGGGAGAAGGAGAAAGAGAGAGGACGGAGGGAGAGAGAGGAAGGAAAAGAGAGAAAAAAACATGGATTTGTTTTCCATTCATTGGTTGATTCTTGAATGTGTCCTGATTGAGTATCAAACCCACAACCTTGGCATAGCAGGTTAACACTCTAACTAACTGAGCTACCTGGCCAGAGCTGTGAGTTCTTTAGAAGCAGCTGGAATCACTAATGTGGGTTATTTTATAAATCGATGTAATCAGGAAGCACCATATTGATCTTTTATAACAAAAGATGTCAAATGTTTAAACCTGTTGGCACTGGTACACATTCCTATTCATTTCTAGATCTTATATCACTTACTACAATCTCACTTCTTTCTTCCCCAAACAACCCAGGCCTAATGAAGGGTATGGCTTTGTGTTTTGTTTTGTTTTTTTTATTCAAGTTTCAATAACTTATTTATAAAACATATCATAGAGGCTTCTAAAAATTAATATTAAAAAAATCATTTTGTTGTATCAATTTACCTTTATGTTTTAAAAAGGTTGGCAAGAATCTATCAACCTTACTAGAGAAATAATTCAAAATTCACTTTTTACTAAAAATGGGTCAATAATATTTTCCTTGGAAACAAAAGATAGAAAACCATTGTAGAATTAAAAACAATTCTCAAGCTCTTTTTTCAAAGGTTGCTGAATCAATTTTCTTGACTGTTTTTAGTGCCAAAATAGCAGCACAAAGCTTCCCACTTCAGATGACTAATTTTATGAGCCTTTCAATGTAATATAGATTATTTCATTATCTAGAGATGTGAAATTCTAAAACCATGGGGCAATGGTTTGATAATTTACTATTTAATAAACTAAAAAAGTAGTTTATTCATCCTTTCTCCCATTTTTGAGAGGAGAGAGGCAACTTAATTTTTCGGTGGCCTTGTTTTGACAAAAATTAAAAAAAGTTTATTTAAGTAATTGGTTAAAATAACTATACATTAAATGAAATTTTATTTGATAGGTCTATGTTTTAAAAATATAACTGTTCTTTTTTATGTGGTTACTAGTGGCCCAGTGCATGAAATTTGTGCACATTAAAAGGGGGACCTAGCCAAAACTGGTTTGGCTCATTAGATAGAGTGTCAGCCTTCAAACTGAAAGGTCCATGTTTGATTCTGGTCAAGGGCACGTACCTTGATTGTAGGCACATCCCCAGGAGGCAGCTGATTGATGTTTCTCTTTCATCGATGTTTCTAACTCTCTATCCCTCTCCCTTCTTCTTTGTAAAAAAATCAATGAAATATATATTTTTTAAAAATAAAAATAAAAGGAGGACCCAGAATCAAGTTCCCACCCACCCATATGGGCCTCAAAATTGTGTGAGATCCAGACCCGACTTCCCCCACCCCAATTGGCCTAGATCCAGACCCAGCCACTCCCACCCTTGTCAAGCCCTGCCAGGCAGGGGCATAGACTCAGGTCCTCTGACCCAGCGCCAGGATGGGGGCACAGCCTGAGTTCCCCCAACCCAGCACTGGGGGTGCACCTTGAGGTCCCCTGTCAAGCCCCATAGGGGAGGGGGAGGGTGTAGGCTCAGGTCCCTGCTGATTGCTCATTAGGCTCCTTAAGGAAACTTGGTCTCAGCTGTGGGTGCAGCCATCTTTGTGAGGGAATCATGGTCAATTAGCATAGTCACTCTTTATTAGATAGGATATACAAGCCTAATAAAATGGATTGCTCCATTGTGTTACTTATTTGTCCAGGTCTACTCAGGATTGTAGATGGGAAGCCCCTTTCCGTAGGCTATATTTTGATTTGGCATCTGAAAGCAAAGTTGCTGAGAAGAGGTCAGGTTAATTTTGCTATGTGGGAAATCATTACCTACAAAAATCAAAGTTTAACAAAAGATTTCATACCCTGAATTGAAAGATGAGGAAGCATAGAAACAAGAAATTTAGACAGTGAGGTTGATGGCTAAAATAATTCAGAGAAGGATAGTCAAGTGCAAGTTTAAATCTGGTGATTTAGAATCTCAACTTTGAATAGACAATGTATGTTCCATGTAATTTAGTTTAATCCAGGAAGTTCTTTACCCTTCATCCTCATGAAAAAGGAGTTCTGGTTCAGAAGTCAGAACATTCCTGTAACCACTCATGTGTCTGCAGGCAATGGAGGAAGAGCCCACTCTCTGGAACAAAATAGTTTTTAGATAGCCCTGGCTGCCCTTTTCAGGCCTCTATTCACATAGTCAAATCCCTTCGTGTTTCCAAGTCCAATGTTTTCATTGTTTCAAGAACAATTTGCACTTTTTAATCTAGAAAGGGACAATCAGGACAAGACACTAAACACTATTCAATTATGTGAAAGAATTGTTAAATATAAACCCAAAGAAGGGCTGGAGTTGGTTAGATGCTTTATTATAGGTACATAGGCATGACTATAGCAAATTGCTGCAATTTGTTGAGAATCATATCATGTTCCATAAAATAATGTTTGCAAGATCTACCACAGTATCTAACAAAATCACTTAAATCTAAGACTTGCTCAAAGCCACTCCTTGGGAATCAATAGCCAGCTATGGGATACTTGAGCACCTGCCCTCACTGGATTGAAGTCCTGATTTTTCCTCTGTATAAATTAGCTCTGAAATTAGACATAGGGGAATATGGTGGGTTGACATCCTGACAGACCTTATCCAATTATTTCTACTTTACTGTGCAGACCACCTTCCTCAACTGATAACCAGTCTGTGGGCAAATGCTTTGAGAAATATGAGTGAACGCTTCAAAAAGAAAGAAGATGCAACTGCAATATTAAAAACCCATGCACTATCCATTTGCATATGTCTTATTCCTTCTCTTCTAAATTCTTATTGTACAATGGTATGTAGTTATTTATTAAGTTTAAGTTTGACTCAACTATTATAGATTTACTCCTTCTCCCCTCCAAAACAATAGACAATTGTGACTGATCAGCCTCACATTCTGAATTCTGCTATCAAGCCTCTGACACTGTTGATACTTCATGCCATGGAAGCATGTTAGTCACTACTGGGCTCAAGAGTTCTGAGGAAACTTCAGATCCACTTTATAAGTGGTGTTAGAAGTTTCTCAGGGTCACCTGGGGAACCTGCAAGGGGAAAATAGGTAAGATATGAGGCCAGGAGTGACTCCCTGCCCCATTTGGGGACAGTTTTTATTTATTTATTGGGATTTTTCATAAATTTCTGTCAGTACAAAGAGTTCAATTGATTTTCAAAGGTTTGAAATGGCTGGTGTGGTACATAAGGGGACTCAGACTTGGTTAGAAGGCCAGAACCTGCCACTTACTGTGGCAGGAGGGAAAGCACCTAACCTCTCCAATAATAATCTCTGCACTGCCTATCTCACGGGCTCGCCCTTTATGTCGAAACCACTACGAGTGTGGGAGGCATAAAGGGCTGCGCCTGGGTTCCACTGCAGTTTTCTCCAGCCGGAAGTCCCGTCTCCATGACCCTCCTTACTACCTCCTCACCCTTCACCCGTCACCCGGAAGTGGACCCCGTGGGTCTGGCCGTCCAATCTGCACTCTAGGTCTTCCATGCGCGGGTGGTGGCATCCATTCCACCCACCAAGATATGGATCCCTCCGGCCTAGAGTCACACCCTCCCCCACAAGAGTCCGACCGCGCAGACCTAGATTTCTACCCTCCTAGCCATGAGTTCAACTCTCTCTACCTAGAATTGGACTTGGACTCTGTTAATGAAGATCTTTCTCAACCCATGACAGGCGCCATGACAGAGACCTCTGCAGGTGCAAATGAACCCCATTCATCTACCAAACCAGAGGATCTCACAGAGGCTGAGCAAAAGAAGCTCAAGTCCGAACTCGCTAAATTGGAAGCTGAAATTGTAACCCTACGCCATGCGCTGGCAGACAAAGAAAGACACTGCGTGGAGCTCAAGAGGAAGCTGGGCCTCACAGCCTTGGTGGGGCTGAAGCAGAATCTGTCCAAGAGCTGGCACGAGGTTCAGTTCTCCAACGCCTACATGAAACAAAAGACGTCAGCTGCACTGTCCACCATGGGCTCGGCCATCTGCAAGAAGCTTGGAGACATGAAGAAGTCAGCCACATTCAGATCCTTTGAAGGTCTGGTGGGGACAATCAAGTCCAGAGTTTCAGGTAGCAGAGAGCTTGACAATGACTTCCTTCCTTCTTCATCGGGGTATGAAGATGATTCACCCCCAATTACAGGGAGTGAGAATGATCCAGTTCCAGGGAGTGGAGATGATCTGGTTACAGAAACTGGGAATGACCTGCTTCCCTTTCTGGAGCAGGAATGAGCCCTTTATAACTTGCCTGACCACCTAACCAATGCAAGAACTCCCTTCCCTCATCACAATTGCAACTCTGCCCATCAAAAACAAGCACCTAACCACAGTGGTAAAGTTAACTCAGGAAAAGGACAGAGTCCGATTTTGAGAAAAGTAATGTCCATTTTACACAGGTATTTGCTGCTGTTGAGATAGAAAAATCTAACGTTTTGTACCTGGTTATTTTACACTAAAGTGTGTAGATCAAATGCATCACTATACTAGCCTTCTTGTGGTTGTATTTAAATGGACAAGACAATGGCTCCAGAAGGGTCTAAGGCCAAAGGCCAAACTCTTTTTTTGAAAACTAGTCTCATCAGAAGGCAAAGTAGGTTTCTGTTTAAAACTGGGAAAATGTATAAAGTAAGCTATAAATCTATGTACTCCCCACCTCCTTCCTTCACTAAATCTCAGAAGAAAACTTGAAAGCTTCAACTAGTCTATGATTTTTTATTTTAAAAAGATGTTCAAGAAAACATTTAAAAAACAAAAACAAAAACATGTTTTTTTTCTCTGAGACCCTCAGAAAGGGAAAGAATATTAGTAGATTAATTGCTACATAATACTATAACTTTTATAAAACTTGACTTTTTAAAAGTTCCTAATTAAGCAAAGTAACTTTAGCTTCAGTTTAGTTAACTACTTTGGATTCAAGCCAAACTTGCAACTTTACTTTGCCTTATGCTGTGTTAGTTATCTTTTTATTTAGCAAAATGAGGGTTTTAAAGTTTAAACCTGTGGCAGCATGTCTCTGCCATGGCAGCATGCCACCTAAAAGGGAGAAAGTTGCTCCTCAGTTCTGCAGCAATTCCTAGTTATCACCTCCAGCTGAGGAGCTGGAGAGAAAACAGCACAGCCACATTTCCAGAAAAAAAAAAAACCCTCTCTTAAGCAACATTTAAAACAGAATGTCCATCCCCTGTAATGCTGACTGTTATCAATTTGAATGGGATAACTAACTGATTATTCATCACTAGTCACCTTGACTCCAGATCTGTCCTTATTTATAGCTAACCCCAACTGAAAGGAAACAGAATCCTGTGAGTTTGAACTTTCTCATATCTGATTTTTACAGGAGCTATGATGATTTTTGTTTTTGTTTTCTTCTCCCATTTTCAAAATGCCAGGACTTGGCAGCTTCTTTCATTCCTCCAGTTCACACTGCCTAAGGTAAAAGTTTGGGTCTTAATGGCTTTCAGCAGGGGGACTAGGACACTTACTTGCAGTGGGTATACATTGATAACATCTCACTGCCTAAAGGTAGCCCCTCCAGTCTAAGAAGATTATCCTGTTTTATTTATTATTGAATGCTCCCCCTATACTCCTATAAGCAAAACCAAATAACACTTTAAGTGCAAAAGTACTTGGTAAACTGTAAAGTCAGTAATGTTTCCCAACCCTCTACAGATTTCTGAAGACAAAGTTTTGCTTGGATTAAAATAAGATACTCAACTATTTTTTAATCTGTTTGCTTTTTAATCTATTGTGTTTATCAACTAAAATGATTTTTTCTATGCTAAAGAACTAGAAACAAACTTGCAGCATGCATAAAGTCAAAATACTCCAATAGGCAAAGGCTTTGACCCCATTGCAGACAGCCTTGTCTTTGAGAAAAATTTCAGACTGACATCACAGGCCAAATCAGAATATGTTCTATTTTATTTAATAAATCAAACACATGTAGTAACAGTTTCTCCAAATAAATCCTCAACTCACTGAGAGCATTAAGAACATATCTATCTTTGTTCATCATTGTATTCCCATGCCTGACTCAGGTAAACATTCAATAAATACCTTGCTGAATTAATGAATTAATATCACATACTTCAGACATTAAGTCTTTGACCAAGGAGATTATCAACATGAACTGGTTGACAAATTCCCTAGTCAAAGAAAATTTGCCCTAGCCGGTTTTGCTCAGTGGATAGAGCTTCAGCCTGCAGACTGAAGGGTCCCAGGTTCTATTCCAGTCAAGGGCACATGCCCCCATATCGGGTTCGATCCCCAGTGGGGGGTGTGCAGGACACAGTCCTTCTCTCTCATCATCAGTGTTTCTATCTCTCTCTCCCTCTTCCTTCCTCTCTGAAATCAATAAAAATATATTTTAAAAGAAAAGGAAATTTAAGACTCTACTTAAATGTCAAGCTCTAAAGGCACATAAATTAATTAGATATGGTAAATACTCTCTAGAAATAGATTTTCTAATTCTTATAATTCACTTTAGTGGGTGCTAAAATAGAGGAAGTCTATGAAGAAAGAATTTTCACCTCTGCCTTAGATCAGAAAATTTCATAAAGATAGAAAGTCTTAAAGGACATAGTAGGAATTTGCCAGACATATAAAGATAGAACATTCCAGAAAATAGCTGGAGGAACTAAGTCAGGAAGGAATATAATAGAATGTCATGTTTCAAATAATATCAATAAGCCATTGTGGCTAGAAAGAAAGTATAAGTGGTAAGAGATAAGGATGGAGAAATAAACAGGGGCAAGATCATAAATAGTCTTATATGCTAAACTAGATATTAATATTAATCCTGTAGGAAATGGGGAGGAAGGTACTTAAATCAAATTTGTATTTCTGATAGATCACTCTGGTCACCATAGAAATAGATTCAGATGTATTTAAGAGGCAGAATCTCCAAGACTTAGGAAACAACTGAATGGGCAAGAAGGATGGATATATTTGTGAGTTAATAAGGATATAGAATTTAAAAGACTTGATACTAACAATGCTGGAGGTACACATTCATTTTGCTTTGGCTCTTTTATTGGATTCCAGCATACCTCCACCAATAGCCATGGACACCAAATACATGCCTCCATAAACATATGGACTCTTAATTAAAGGCTTCCTCCAGATCTCCTTTCTACAATACTTGCTTCTACCTTTCCTATGTATTGCTTACCCTTATTTTCTATCCTGTATACCTTCATAATTTGATAACCTTTGCTCATCTAGCCCTATTTGTATGTTGGAGCTTAGATTCAGTCTATTTAACTGTAACCTGGCCACTTACAATAGGATACAATTTCCAATAGTTCTTGGAATATGTGAATCTCCAAAAATGCTCCATATTTGAATCTGGCTCTACTCCTGAGAAACACTAGTTGAGAGGAATACTGGAACAAAATTCCCTGAAGCTCCCAATTTTCTTGGTCTTCCATCACCCAGATGAGTGAAGGAGTAGGGGTGGAAAAGTAGAGACAAGGGTTGAAAGTTCTAATTCTCCCCAGATGACATTCCCTATGCAGCTGACAAGGGAGGGAACAGAATACCAAGCCCTTGTTTATTAGCATGATAGCATACTCTGGCATACTGCTATCATCACCCCCAGAGAAATTTACCAGGAACTTCTGGATTATACTTTACTTCTTAGCTCCAGATTTGAGAGAAACTATATTACATAACTTCCTTCATGGGCTGAAAGAGGTAAGCAATCATCAGCTATCTAGAACTATAGTGGTAGGGTACTTGTTAGCCCTACCCACCAAGAGAACAATGATGCCATTTGTGAATATTGTTAGGGGAAAAGGTCACTTGGATCTGGGCCATGGATTTTCAGTTTTTGCCCATTAACTCCACTGTAAGAAAAAAGGATGAGTGTTACTCTATCAAAAGTACTGGGGCCTTGCCCAGCCAGTGTGGTTTAGTGGTAGAGTGTCAACCCATGCACCAAGAGTTCACCTGTTCAATTCCCCGTCAGGACATATGCCTTGGGTGCGTGCTTGATCCCTAGTGAGGTTGTACATGAGGCAGTTGATTAATGATTCTCTCTCATCATTGATGCTTTATCTCTCTCTCCCTCTCCCTTCATCTCCCTCTAAAAATGAATAAAAACACATTTTAGCCCTAGCTGTTTGGCTCAATGGATAAAGCATTGGCCCGCAGACTGAAGGGTCCTGGGTTTGATTCTGGACAAGAGCATGTACCTCAATTGCAGCCTTGATCCCCACTCAGTCAGGACATGTATGGGAGGCAACCAACTAACGTGTCTCTCTCGCATCAATGTTTCCCCCTCTCTGCCTCATACCCTCCCTTCCACTCTCTCTCAAAAAAATCAATGGAAATATATCTTTAGGTAAGGATTAAAAACAAAAACAAAAACAAAACCACATATATATCCTGTATAATAAAAGGCTAATATGCAAATTGTCCCCTCAATAGGGAGTTCGACCAGGTGGGGGAGCTGGCATGCCAACTGCCTGTGGCCCCCCACCCCTGGTTAGCCTGACCCAATTAGCCATGATTGTGACAGGCTGGCTACACCCCACTCATGTACAAATTCATGCACTGGGCCTCTAATATAAATATATATATATATATATATATATATATATATATATATATATATGTATGTATATATATATATATATATATATATGTGTGTGTGTGTGTGTATATATATATATATATATATATATATATATATACATTTTTTTTTTTAAACACTACTGAAGCCTCAATGCAATTATCATCTGAGACCATGTCCCACACCTGCTGACCAGATCTATTGATGGGATGCTCGGTAATGCCACAATTTCCAGTGCCTAGCATTGTTCACATAAGGAAAATAACAAGTGAAAAAAATGCCTTCTAAGTGATGCACCTTGGACAGATAGTACAAACACATTATCTTATCAGTCATCTGTCAGAAATTACTAAGCAGGTCCTTAAGTTAAAAATGTCTGACATTTCTTGGGAATTCACCAGGTAGTTTTAAAGTTCATTTTCGGTTTATCTCTACTACCACTCAAATTTAACTGACCACCTCAGGAAGGGAAGTAGATTCCTCTGGAAGATGAAGGTTTTGGTCACCTAAACTCCAATCATGGCTACCTGGCTTCACACCATAGCATCAAAACTGATGCATCCAACATGGTGCCACATCTCCAGGAAGACTTTCCTTGTGGAGCCTGGTCTGTCTAGACTTGATCCACCTTCATGTATTATCTCCCCTCCCCAAAAACCTGAGCTCAGAAGCCAGAGCACATAGAACTATTAAACACCTGTTGGTTGATGCCTTAGCTGCCTTTATACTTAACTAGAGGCTTGGTGCACAAAATTCGTGCACAGAGGGAGGTTGTCCATCAACCCAGCCTGCACCCTCTCCACCTGGAACACTCACAATCCAGGACTGCTGGCTCATAACCGCTTGCCTGCCTGCCTGCCTACCTGCCTGATTGCCCCTAAATGCTTCTGCCTGCCAGCATGATCACCCTCTAACCACTCCCCTGCCAGTCTGATTGCTGCCCAACTTCCCTCCCCTGCCAGCCTGATTGCCTTCCTCTGCCATGACCCGCCTCCTCCACCAGGACCCTCCTTTTCCGCATGAGGCGGTGGAGATGCCAGGACTGGTCTCCTCCACTGCACAGAGCTGCAGGACCCCCAGGCCTGACCATGCAGAGTGGCCACTGGGCCCCACTTCCACTGTGCATGCAGCCATCTTGTAGTGGCCATCTTTGTGGCAGCCATTGCATGAGGACATTGCGCAAGGGCGGTATGCCACCTAGGTTTTTATTATATAGGACACTGTCAAGAATTATGAAGCCAGGAAAATAGTAGTGGGAACCAGCCTCCTACTAGCCTCTGTCTCACTCCAAATCTTTGGCTTTCTATAGCCCAAATTTTGAATCTATTAATATATCTGGCTTTATGGATCTGGTATCTAAACCAAATGGTCCCATCGAATGGCTCTTGTCTTTTCATAATGCACTTTTTAAAATTTAGTTTTCCCCCCAGGGAGACCAAAGGCCAGATTCCTCCCCTTTCTCTACCTCCAAAAAATAAATAAATAAAAATTTAGTTTGCCTTTTGATCTCTGACTCTGTGATGCTATCTATGAAAGTTTGACAAACTCATCTGAACCTTATAGGAGAGGAGATGGGCACCCTACACATTTGGAGTTACCAAAGATTGGCTAGTTTACAATGTGTATAGTTGCAAAAAGGCAAATACATATATATATTATGCTAAGTGTCTGTCCGGGTAATGATGTCACTTAGCAATGCCTTCCTCTCCCTAGCAACAACTAGCCTCCTTGCAGTTTCTTCAGCCCAATAACACAACTTGCTTTAAACCAAGGTGGAAACATTTCACACTTTAACCAAAAGTCTGTGAAGCATTTCCCTGTGCCTCATCTCATTTAATACTCACAGAAGTCCTAGAGTAGGTAGGTAGAAGACTCAGTGGAATCCTATTTTATTTTCATTTGCCAGAAAACAGAGATTTAGAAAGTTTAGAAACTTGACCCGACTGAAAAGAAGTAAGAAATGGTGGACCTTGAAAATTACTTCAGGTTTTTTCACTGTGCAGAATATAGTCAAACACTGTTGCAGTGCATTGACCAGTTTTGCTCAGTGGATAGAGCATCAGCCTGCAGACTAAAGGGCACCAGGTTTGATTCTGGTCAAGGGCATGAACCTTGGTTGCAGGTACATCCCCAGTAGGGAATGTGCAGGAGGCAGCTGATTGATAATTCTCTCTCATCAATGTTTCTGGCTCTCAGAAAAACCAAGATGGCAGCCTAGATAAGCGCCTAAACTACCACCTCACACAACAACTTCAAAATAACAACTAAAAGACAGAATGAACATCATCCAAAACCACAGGAAAGCTGGCGGAGTGGGAAATCTACAACTAGAAAGAAGGAGAGAGGCTCATGGATCAGGGGAGCTGCAAAGTGCTGAGGTAGGGAGACATGCAAGCAAAGAGGAAGAACAGAGAAGTGCCTAGCTGGCAGGAAGGGAAAGGAAGGCCCCGACTGCCCTGCACCTCAGTTCCAACTGCACTGAACCTCAACCCCAGCCGAAACCCCATGGACCTACATACAGGTGGAGTCTGGACTGTAAAGAAAGGCACCGGAGACTCAGAGACTGGAAGACTTGGGGGAGCCAGGAGCCACAGCGGGCAGGGTCTAGAGTCTCATGCCAGTGAGTGCATGCAGAGAGGTCTGACCGTGGAGTGCCACAGCTGCTCCAGAGCTGAAGGAGTCAAAAGCTCTTGACTGCACTGAACCCCAGTTCCAACTGCACTGAGCACTGAAACCCAGTTCAGGGAGAGCCCTTGGAGCACCCACACTCTTACAAGGGGAATCTGGACTGTCAGGCTGAAACTCAGGGAATCCGTGGAAGACAGAGGTCTGAGGTGCGCCACAAGGGCACGGCTGATGGGAAGCCAAGACTGTCGGCTCAGCCCTGAGACTATGCCCCATCCAAGCTGAACATAGAGGCTTTTAAAATTTTGCAAGTCTGATCCTATAAAACTGTCTCCAATATAGAAGGTATCCCAGAGTAGACACATCTAAATAATACTCAGATCCAATTGGCCCGAGTCAATTCCTCCCAGTGATAACAACAATCAAGACTTAACTACAACAAGGCTGTACACGCAATTCACAAAGAAGAGCACCCAGAGTGTCTACCTCAGGTAACTGGGTAGACACTCTTGGTGGAGGCTGACCCACCGGCGCATATAAGACACTAAACACACGAAGCCACCCTACCAACTCAGGGAAGCAGCGAAAATGGGAGACAAGGAAACAGATATCAAACGAAAAAAATGGGGGAGAACAAAAGACTGGATATAGAGTTCAAAACCACGGTTATAAGGTTTTTCAATAATTTCCTAGAAAAGGCTGATAAATTTAATGAGACCCTCGAAGACATGAAAAAGGACCAACTAGAAATTAAACATAAACTGACACCCAACCAGAAAAGAAAGAATCCAAAAATATAAAGATAGTGTAAGGAGCCTCTGGGACAACTTCAAGCGTACCAACATCCGAATTATGGGGGGTCCCAGAAGAAGAGAGAGAGCAAGATACTAAAAACCTATTTGAAGAAATAATGACTGAAAACTGCCCACACCTGGTGAAAGAAATAAACTAACAAGTCCAGGAAGCACAGAGAACTCCAAACCAAAGGAATTCAAAGAGGACACATCATAATTAAAATGCCAAGAGCAAAAGACAAAGAGAGAATATTAAAAGCAGCAAGAGAAAAATGGTTAGTTACCTACAAGGGGCACCCATATGATTGTCAGCTGATTTCTCAACAGAAACTATGCAGGCCAGATAGGAGTAGCAAGAAATATTCAAAGTGATGAATAGCAAGAACCAATAACCAAGATTACTCTACCCAGCAAAGCTATCATTCAGAATTGTAGGTCAGATAAATTGTAGGTTAGCTTCACAGATAAGAAAAAGCTAAAGGAGTTCATCAACACCAAACCAGTATTTTATGAAAAGCTAAAAGGTATTCTTTAAGAAGAAGAAAAGGGTAATGATCAAAATTATGAACAACAAATACATATCTATCAACAAGTGAATCTAAAAATCAAGTGAATTAAAAATCTGATGAATAGAATAAACTGGTGAATATAATAGAATCAGGGGCATAGAAAGGGAGTGGACTGAAAATTCTCAGGGGGAAAGGGGTGTGGGGGTGTGGGAAGAGACCAGACAAAAATCATACACCTATGGATGAGGACAATGGCGGGGGGTTAAGGGCCAAGGGTAGGGTGGGAACCGGGTATAGGGAAGCTATGAGGGGGGGAGGAACAATGTAATAATCTGAACAATAAATATTTCTTACATTTTAAATAAATTAAATAAATAAATGAATGAATGAATAAATGGAAATGGTGATAGCACTCCCCCAGGTAGCACCTAGTAGACTCTCCAGGCTCCCCCTGGGAATCTCTTGCTTTGGTCCCCATTGTTTATCTCATTGCCTGCCACTTGGGTTTCACCTCTCTCCCTGGATCCTTTTGTGGCATCAGAATTGTGATTTAATTTCTGGTGATGTCTCTTTAATTACCCTCAGCACTTTACTCAAAAGTCTCTGAGCAGCTAAACCCAGCATCTGGGGATCCTACTCCTACAGGAGTGGTTTAGAGCAAAGGAATAGAGAGAAACTGGAACATAACATTTCTCACACCATCTCCCCACACTCACAACTTCTCCTCAACACTAGGGGGTGCTACTCACACAGTCATTTTATCCTGTTTTGTGCCACACAAACCCCACTGCTTTGCTCTTCACTCCTAAAACTCCATCAGCCACATGTCTTAATGAAATGTTTACCATTAAAGCCTAAATCTATGATTCCTCCTGAAATATGGGTAAATCTTGCACCAGTTCCTTAAGTAGAAAAAGATTCACCATTAACTAGGATTTTAACCTTAACCTATAGAAACTACTTGAAATTCTGAGAAGGAAGTCAGGGGATTTGTTGTTGTTAACTCCATTGAGTATCTAACAAAGTCTATGTATTTCCTTCTGGACCAGGCAAATAGAGTGAACTTTTTGTTCTGATTGAAATGAGGAAAGAAAAATCCTTCTCTGAAGGAAGAAATTATTTGTGGCATTCCCATTATGAAAGAAGTAAGAAGATAAATTATTTGGGTCAGTGGATGAAAAGAAAGGAAATGTACCAGGAACTGCTCTGAAGTTGAGCAAAAAAAATCTCAAGTTCTCACATCACGCCATCCTATGGGCCCCAAATTCTAAAAGCCTCCAGTTCCACACCTCATTACTCTCCTCCCAATTATCTCATAAGGGGATTCCCTGCCCTAATATGACAGAGGTTTAGTAGTTGGGGATAGTGGGAAAGGGAAGAGTCTCCCATTCCTGGCATAATTAGTTGAACCCCTGACCACAACTCCCTGCAAAAATACTGTTTATCGAGTGGCCAAGTACAGTAAATGTGTTGAGACTTTACTTTAGAGCATTGCAGGTTACAGCTAATTACCATACATAAAATGGTTTCTATGGAGAATGCATTCTGATTTCCACTTAACTCATTTCTACAAATGAACCACTGGAATTCTGCCATTCTGATATAGGGACTGCCTATGCAACTCTCAAATGAAAGGAGATGTATTGATGTCTTTCAGGACTGACAGGTTCATAGGATAAGGAAAGATTGTGTGTTCTTTTTGCTTGAGAGCTTTCTTATATTGCCTTTTGATCATTCTAGAGATAAAGAAACATGTTCTCTTCCTTTTTTGCTGGGTCTCAAAGGAATCTGAAGCACTGACCAAAATATCCATTATTTCTTGTAGAGTCAAAGCAAAGGTGTTATGTCTCACTTGCTTAGAAATGTAAGAAAACAAGTCAGAAGGAAGTCTAGTTTTAGCTTCTTTTGGACACTTTGATCATGAAAACTAAAGCATATCTGATAAAAGTGCACTTCTTTACCAAAGCTCAGAGATTTTGAGTTTATCTAAATTCAGATTATTAAACTGTACTTTAGTCACTTTAGTATATTTGTGTGTTTGGGGGATGGGGTTGACTCATGCAGTCTTCTCAGTGAAGCTGAAGTCTAGCTCACTCATTACTAAGTGAGCTGTAGCCTCATTGTTTATATGCAAGCTAGCCAACAAATCATATTTATCCTTTTTCGGGACACTTAGCAAAACAATGCAATTAGCTTCTAATACATGGAAATGTTTCTACACTCCAAGTTTTTTTCTGAGGGGAAAAAAGACATGATTTGAAAACAGCACGAGATGAAACACGCTTTTTCATATGAGGCATTGACATTTAACAATTTTACATACAAAAAAATGTCCTGCAAGTATTTAAAGAATATTCAAATAACTCTTTTGAGGCTATGGCTAACCTGTGTGAGGATAGTGACAAAGTTCAGTAAACCTTGATATCATGCATTTGAGCACATGCTATGTGCTAAGTACATTACATCTATTATTTTCTATAATCCTCACTAAAACCCTTGGGGAAAGAAATTAACACTCCCATTTTATTTTTTTATTTTTTATTTTTTATTTTTTTAAATATATTTTATTGATTTTTTACAGAGAGGAAGGGAGAGAGATAGAGAGCTAGAAAGGTCGATGAGAGAGAAACATCGACCCGCTGCCTCTTGCACACCCCCTACTGGGGATGTGCCCACAACCAACGTACATGCCCTTGACCGGAATCGAACCTGGGACCTTTCAGTCCGCAGACCTACGACCTACGCTCTACCGCTGAGCCAAACCGGTTTCGGCAACACTCCCATTTTATAAATGAGGAAATTAAGGCAGAAAAATTAAGGAATTTGCCCAAGTCTTTGCAGCTTGCAAATAGTAGAGTGGACATTTGAATCCAGTTGCTTCTGACTCGGAGTCAAGCACTCAGCTAAACTGTTGCTTCCAAAATGGCAAAAGTCCTGCTGCCACTATTAAACATTAGCCACTATAGCCAAGGATTGCCTAGGGGCATCTTTGTAGTGCAAGCATCACATGTAAAATCCTCCCAAGAGTTTTCTCTTTAGGAAAGAGAGCACTTGCAAGAGGAAGGTGATCTTGAATATTATTGCCAATATTAAGTCCTTAAAGTTAATCTATACTTTTATGCAATAGATGATCTTTAAGCAAGTATCTTTTAGAAGTAGAATATGAATAATGCAATCTGCATAAAAACAGGCATAATGGCTTATAGAGGATATAGGTGCCCTGCTTGGGGGAACTGGCAGACATAGGGGAACAAGCTTGCACACATAGACATGTGTGTACACACATGCATGCAACTTGTGGAGTGGACTTGGATTTTTGGATACATGGGTAGATTTGTTAGCTTCAGAGCAAAGAGAGAGGCAAGGCATATGTGTGCTAGTCTCATCTCTAGCCTTATTTAGAAGCTTGTTAATATTGGAAGGCTCAAGCCTGATGACCTGAGCTAGCTCTCTTGAGGCTATGGCTAAACTGTGGTGGAAGTTTGGATCACTTACTCTCATTCACCCCAGAATAAACCATAAAGCTGTTGAGATATAAATCCTTCCTCCAGGAAGATGAGCAATGTCTATCCATTCTTGTGGGTAGACCTTTGTTGCTCTTCCTATGGACATGGCTGTTGAGCATCAGGAGCACAGCTATAACCCTCCATATCTCCTAAAATTCAGTATGTTAGAAATGCAATCAGTTTGTACCCAACAGAATCTATTCCATCCCAATTTCCAACCAAAGCTCTGGATATTCATGAATCATTATGATTGTTTCATTTCAGTGAAGTCTGCTGATTTGCCTCTAAATTTCTCTGGATGGCTGAATAGGGGTGGGTTTAGCTGCCCAAAACAACTGTTAATCCCACTATCTGTGAAAGCAGGGTTTGTATCTGCATTCCATCCTCCACTGACTGGGTGGGCCCAGCCGGAACTTGTTCTCAGGGCTCTGAATTTTCCTTCTCTAGTGTGATATTCCCCAGGCCAAAGGACTAAAGAAAAGCAGAGCCATTGCCTTGTTGCTAGGGCAACCAGGCAGGTGCTCTGAATCCAGTGGTTCATAACAAAACACTCAATTTCTCCTTGCTGGGAGGCAAAGGTTGTTCTAGCTAGGGTAGAAGTTGCATTCCAAGTGGTTAGAACTGGAACAGTGTTTGCTATGTGGCATCAGGTCAGATGAGCCAGCTAAATCAGCTTACATTGAGCTGGCAAGACAAAAAGTTAATATGTAACCCAAAGGCTGAGGTTGGGGTAGAGCTAGGACTTGAGAATCAGGCAGACTGGGATTTGTTTACAAGAAGGTAAGGAACAAGGAAAGGTGTCCAAGAGCACTGCTGTAAAGAACCTCAGAGTGTTCATCAGTGAATAAGTGAAACCAAGACACCATGAAATATAAAAGGATACACGGGTAGATTTGTTAGCTTCAGAGCAAAGTATGCAGCCTTCTCCCTCCTTACAGTTTGGGGGTGAGTTGTCTCCAGTTCCAGGCCCATGGGTGTACATCAGTGAATCATATTTTAGAAAAGCTCCTTTGTCAGAGCTGTGATATTACTACCCTGGCTCCAGTCCAGTGACTTTTGTCTACTTTGACCACTGCTTGACCACAGATTAAGTGAAATCTCAAGCCCCTTCTTTCAGAAGGTCTCCTATCGCAAAGCTTTCAGGTAAGCCTCAGCCAAGATCCCAATCAGCTACCATTTAAGGCTCTGCAGGCCTAAGTGCAGTCTGACTGGTTTAAAAAAAAAAAAAAAAAAAAAAAAAAAAAAAAAAAAAAAAAAAAAAAAAAAAGGTGCACCAAAAGAACAAAATCCAATGCCTTGTCAGGATCTTCAAAAGTTACCTCATCAATTTCATCTTGTTATCACAGCCTCCCATGCTTACCTCATTCCAGCTTCACCAATCTTTTTGGTCCTTAATTATGCCAAACTCTCATACCACTCCTAGACCCAGGCCCTGGTCTGAGTCCTGCATTTTGGTCCCATCTAGCTTTCTTTCATCCATGCCCCGCCCTACAAGTTGAGGTCGACAGACCATAGGACAAACACCCAGAATCTCCCAACCTTCTAGATCACAGTTGAAATTCCTGGGACCACAAAGGGCTCTGTGCACATGGCCTCAAACTTGATCCTAGGACCTACAGGACCTCTTCTCAGGTCCATCCTCCTGAGAGGACCATTCCCACTGGTATGCACATCTTTAGATCTGTGTTGCATATCATATGACTCAGTGACATATATACTATAGTAACATTTCCAGGCTTTCCTCAAGGGGTCCTGGTCTCCCCTTTAGTCAATGAACTCTGGGTCTATATCCCACTTTAGTTCTAGAAACTGGGTGATTTTTTTCATTGCAATACTTATGTCAGCTTCCCAGCTCTCAATTTTTTATTATACAAATGAGACAATGCCCTGGTCAGATCTCCATCTATTTTGCCCCTAAAATCACCATAGATCCATGTAAGCCAAGGCACTTTAATTGCTACTCTGATTTTGATGCCATGTGCAATAATTATGTCCAACTTGTCTCTGAGAATTAAAACCTGCCATGGCCTCTCATTCTGAAATCCCATTATCCTCATTGATATCAGGCAGCCTAATTTCCATATCACATCTGCAGGCATGGCCTGCAGAGAACAGGCTTCCTAAAGAAACTGATGGACCCAGTGCTAGTATATTTTCTATTGCCTCAGAAATGGGAGTGAGCACTGGGTCTTTCCAGGGAACACAATTAGTGACAGGTTCTCAGCTTGTGCTTAGTAAATTCACTCTAACATTCCTGCTTCCCTGATCTATATGGTCTCTTTGCTCAATATAATGC